ATCTTTTTATTAACAACATATAAACACAGAACACCGCTGCGGCTGAGGCTGCCAGCGCTATTTTTTTTTCTTTTTTCCATCCTGTCAATCAATCCAGTAGGCGTGTCAGCAAATGACCAATCGGCGACCTCAGTTTGTCCCGAAGGTAAATGTCCCTTGTCTGAGAAGCTGCTCTGCAGCTGCTCAGGGTGTACGCTCGAGTACGAAGTCTGAACCCTCTGCGTACAGTACACGCGTACGTACGCGTGAATGGACGTACGCGGGAGAATACTGGGGGCTTTACATTTAAAACCTGTAGTGAAAAAGGTAAAATACTGACACATTCAAAAAAACATTTTTACATGTGTTGTCTTCGGGTTGAAATGCTTTTCATGATTTTTACATAATAATATAATGAAATGATCCTGAAATTACCATTACCTCATAATAATACTTCATATTCCCTTTGTATTGAACTTACATTTGTTCCACCTCATAGACTCTCTCGGTATGACTGCCTCATTGTTTAACCTCCTCATTAAACTTTCATATTGATCCTCCTTAGAGTTCACAGATGACAAGGATTCCTGTACTGGTCTAATAATAATAAGTGCTATGTGTTGTCATCATTGTATGTTCCCATACAATGGCAAAATTAGTTCTCTGCATTTATCCCATCGCACCTTGGATACACCAGGTGGAGCAATGGGCAGCTATGTAAGTGCCAGGGGAGCAATTAAGGATTAGGTGTCTTGCTCAGAGACACCACAACATGTGGGAATGACTGAGGATCGAGCCTGGGACTTTCTAAAAACCTCGAGTACCATTCAGTCTATCAACTCAAATCAAGACTTACTTGTCTGTTTGGTCTCCACTGTCTCCCTCCTTGTCTGTTTCACCATCCTTGTCTCTTCTCTGAAGCGGACTCCTGGACCAAGCTCGTACACTTCTACTTAAAAAAGCCCTCGAGTGTTCAAATAAAGCTTTCGCAATTTTATAGAAAATATCAGCAACTTTGAATTATGTAACGAAGACGACTAAAAGTTATGACCGACAAAGGGCCAAAACACAAAAGTGTTAATGTGGTAACTCATTTCAAAGAGGTCAAAGAGGGTGGTGTTTTCAAAATATTATTTAGTTCAATCAATCTACAAGTTGCATGAAAGTATTAAATGTGTGTATCATTTTATCAGGCTTGAATTATTTCATTGTGGTCAGTTGTTTATTATTTTTTCTTTCAGTTTATTTATTTTTTCATCAAGGCAACGCTAAAGAAGATGGATGTTTGTTTAAAGGATTGTGTTGTAAGGAGGCTCTTGTAGTATTTGTGTTAAACCTAATTTATTCAGTAAATTGTGTAATAGTACATTTTCGCAATACAGTTAAAGCACAGTGGTTACAACTTATATTTTTTATGCAATAACTATAAGACTGCAAAATTCTCAATTTTTTTTTTTTTTGGTAAAATACTATGATTAAATTATTATTTAATCATTAATGGTGAAACTTTTAATGATTAAGATAATTTGTTTAGGTGGGTCATATTTGTGAATATCTGATCTTTTTGATGTTGCAAAACATATACAAAGTATGTATAATACATGCAAAATAATATTTGTGGATAAAGTAATAGTGTTCCCATTTAATGATTTTATATTTTTTTCTTCTTTCAGCCTCTCCCTTTTTTTAGGTGTCACCACAGCGAGTGAACTTACACAAGGATTTGGCAATAATGTTTTACGCCAAATGCACCCACCCCTCCCCCATTCCCGAAGCAACCACAGACCACCAAGCTGCCACAGCTCTCTGAATGGAGTAGGGGGCTGCCATCTACTGCACCCAGGGGAGCAGATGGTGATGGTGGTGGTGGGGGGTGGGGGTGGGGGGGTGGGGGTTAAGGGCTTTGCTCAAGGGCCTAGAGTGGGGCAAATGAGGGTGGAGGCAGGTGTGGGTGCTTTGCATTTTCCACCCACATTTTGATGTTATGGTCAGCAGGGGGCTTTGAACCACTGACCTTTCGATTACAAGTTTGTGACCACCACTCCCCCTGACTTTGATAATTACATATTGTACCTAATTATTATTGTTGTTTTTTTATTTCATTATTATGCTTTACTTTTATAAATTATTTAAGTCCGTGTAAAATAAGTCTTAAAAGATTTTGAGCACTTCAAATATTTTTTTAAGCATCAGATTCCCTTTTGTGATAGGTCATCTTTTTTTTTTTTTTTTTTCAGTACGGAAATTTAGAGAGAAAAAAAAAAAGGCAATACCCATTTGAACAAAAGTACATTGTTCACTGTGTCTTCATAAAATTATCAAATTTCCACGCGGTTCAAATTGTGCTTTCAAACAACAAAATGCTTTAATTGTTTTCTTGGGCAGTGGAAAAGACAAAAACTTTGGCTTTTCTACTCCTGGCAGCCTTTAAGGCAGATGGTTATCACATTATGTCGCTGTCTTCAGTCTGAACAGTGGACCTGGAGTCATCTCGTCACACAGCAAGGAGCTCTAAGCTGACATCCTCAACGTGCCATAGTGTGTGTTGCCAGATATTTTCCTGCTCTCACTAACTTTCCTGTTCCACTCCTGCCTAATCAGTTTTAATTGACTTTAATTAGCATGCACTAATTAATTTTGTTTTCTACAAATTATTTGTGTGACTGATCCCAGTGGGTGGCCTTGTTCATCTCGTTAGAGCCAATTAGCTGCAATTAACAAACCCTAATGACAAGTCTTTTCTCAATCCCAAACAAACAATGCACACCCTGCCAGATTCCAGGACTGCACTAAAGGCTTCTTTCTTGTCAATGTGTGTGTATGTGTGTGTGTGGCAGGGGTTGGAGGGGCGATTTAGAAACATAAACTCAGAGGTTCATCTTGGGAATCCTAGATGATTGCTTCCTTGTTTTGTCTTGATTATTGGTACCAAATGATGGGCTCAGGTTTGGGAGCAGAACGTGAAAAGTTTTCACTCACATCAGATGTTTGGTGAGCTCTGATTTGTTTCCTCTTTTATCAAACACATACCTACAGTTTTTTTAATGCAGTGAAAAGAGATTAATGTCTTTTAGCATTCGACACCAGTCCAAAAACCTCATTATTAGATTCTTAGTTCGGTGCAAAAATATAATAATTAAATACAGCCACGTGGACTGATAACGAAATATGTAACTGACTCATGAGTTCATGCAGAAATTTGAAAATGCTCTCAGTGAATGTTTCAGACATGACAGCACTTTTATTGTTCAGGGTTGTTCTAAATTATTCTTGTCCAGCTGCAGTTTTCTGGTAAATTTTTAAAGTTAGGGTTATTTATTTATTTATTTGTTCATTTATTTATTTTTATGTTTGTTTGTTTGTTATTTTCTTTGGTAAATTCTAATTCAATAAATACATTTTTACACAATGTGTGTGCATTGAATTTGACTGGGCTTTTCTGTTTGTTTTAATCTAAATTCTTTAGCATTTTATCTTTTTTGGTAATGTCGTAAAATTACGTAATCTAACTTAATAACTGTAAAGTGAAACAAATAAGTAAATATACAAATTGTGAGTTTTTACACATTTTGAATGTAATTTGTTTTTTTAAACTCTGGTTCCATCCTTGTCTGAAATTTGTTGGCAATAAACAATAAAATAAAATACATATTTTGAATGAATGCAACTTTGACTCAATTAATTATGACATATTGTCTTAGCTTCAACATGTGATTTTGTTAGATCAACTTTAATTAATTTAAAAACATTTAAATCATTAGAAATCTTGAAGAAAAATGTTTAAACGAAGTTAACTATTTATAAGCAACCATTTCAGAGATCTTAAAAACTTTGTGTTTATATATATATATATATATATATATATATATATATATATATATATAAATGCATAAAAATATATATATATAGATTTATATTTATATATCAATATACATACATATACCTGCATTAAACTTTTCATAAGATGAAATAAAACAACAGCTATCAGTAAAGCAGTCCTCCTTTTAAAGAGTGGAGGTTTTAGTTGCCGGCAGCTATCAGAGCCCACCAGAGCCGGTTCCGTCCTATCTGCGTCCCCAGGAGGACCAGCACGATCCAGGACCTGAGGGGACCAGTAGATCAGAACCATCAGTGATCCTCGTCTTTTCAAATAGGATGAAGAATAATGCTGCGCGCGCCTCAACATTAATCTGACAGAGGAACGTCCGTCCTCCTCTCAGCTGCTCGTTTGTCACCTGCCACCAAGCCGGTAACCCCCCCCCTCTCAGCTCTCCCCACCCCCCCCCCCCCCCCGCCGTCCCCCCCCCCCCCCCCCCACACACACACACACACACACACACCATCATCACCGACTGCACAGAGTTTGACGACCTCCTTTAGTCTGTTGAAATTTTCAGCATATTATTATTTATTATTATTATTATTATTATTATTATTATTATCATTATTATTAATTGTATTGTTATTATTATTATTTATCTTCCCCAGGTGGTAAACATGTTATTCTGAAAACGTTGTCCAACTTTAATTTGATGCGGCGGAGGGAAATGACAAAACACTTCTCATTGGTTCGTCGGGGGCGTGACGTCACATGCCTCTTTCCTATACGCAATAGGCTGAGCTGGCCAAGGTGAGCTCATTACAGCCTTCCTCCCTGGCTGGGAGCTCATCATCATCCTCAGCATCATCTGAAGTGAACAAGCGGAGCTCCAGAAGGATATCTCACAGATTTATTTCATCCTTTTTGTGTTATTCATTCTCTTCTGCATGTTTTGATGGCAAACCTCGGATCATCAGCACGGCACCACCACGCGCACACGCTTTCCAGTCAGTGAGAGATGCTGTCTTTTGTTCCAGAGAAGGAGCATTGGTTCGGAGCAGGTGAGCGGAAGTGGATTGTTGTCCCGAGGAGCACCTGCAGCCGGATGCTGATGGAGCCTCATCATTCAGAATAACTTCCTGGATTTTATCAGAACGCTGATCAACGGGGTGGGGGAGAGGGGGGGGACGGTGGATCTAGTTCTTGTTGTCGCACTGGGACAAGATGCTCCACTGTGCCAGCTGTGAAAAGCCCATCCTGGACAGGTTCCTGCTGAAAGTTTTGGACAGACCGTGGCACGCCAAGTGCGTCCAGTGCTGCGAGTGCAAGTGCAGCCTGACAGAGAAGTGCTTCTCGCGCGATGGGAGGCTGTACTGCAAGAATGACTTCTTCAGGTGAGGGTCAGGATTTATGTTCGTTAAGAATGATGTTTTTACAGCACAACTCAGGTACTGGGAAACTTGACACTTCCTAAAACAAGAAGGATGCTGGATGGGAATGTTTAAGTCAGAATCAGAAGAGTTTATTCAACCTAAATGGAGAAAAAAAAAGTTTTTTTTATTTATTATATTAAATTAAATAGTTGATAATTATTTAATTATTACAGCTATACATTTAGAATTGATGTGGGACGCTTAATGCGCAAATATAAAAAAAACACAGCTTTAATAACAGCACCATTTGAAAATAATTTTTTTTTTTAAATAAAAATATGGCTTATGTTGTGCAAAAATTCATACCAAAAAAATACTATTAAATAATAATAATTATTATTATAATAGATGTATAAAGATTTAACCAATTATGTTAGAAATTCAAATTATTGCACTTGAGCTAAAGAGGTATAGCGAGAAATAAATTCAAATATCAGAAATACAGTGCTCTTTCACATACATGCTGACACCTTTTATTTATTTGTTTGTTTGTTTTAACAGGAGATTTGGGACGAAGTGTGGCGGCTGCTCGCAGGGCATTCTACCCAGTGATCTCGTGCGCAGAGCCAAGAGTAAAGTGTTTCACCTGAACTGCTTCACGTGCGTCATGTGCAACAAGCAGCTGTCCACAGGAGAGGAGCTCTACATCCTGGACGAGTCCAAGTTCGTCTGTAAGGAGGACTACCAGAGCAGCAACGGGAAGGACACCGTCCTCCTGTCAGGTGAGCCCCTCAGCCATTTTCTGCAGCCTTTAGCTACTATAGCTGCGTCTTCAGCTACTTTCGTCTACTTCTCCTGCGCAGTTACAACGTGCAGCGACCCGAGTCTGTCCCCGGATTCCCAGGACCCGCAGGACGACTGCAAGGACTCGGAGGAGGGGGGTGGGGGGCCCCTGTCCGACAAGGACGCGTGCGGCAACGAGGAGCCGGACAACGACGAGCAGGGCGCGGTGGGGAAGCGCCGCGGGCCGCGCACCACCATCAAAGCCAAGCAGCTGGAGACGCTGAAGGCGGCGTTCGCGGCCACGCCGAAGCCCACGAGACACATCCGCGAGCAGCTGTCGCGCGAGACCGGCCTCAACATGAGAGTCATCCAGGTGAATGGGCGGAATAAAGAGATTTGAATAAACATGTGCGCTCGCATCCATTGTCGGACGCGCGTAAAAGTGTCAGCAGCTCTGATTAGATTGAGCAAAGGTGACGACAAATCACGTGACTGAATATCACACCAACACTGTGAATCATGTTTATACACTGATGGCCATTTGATCTTTTTCTCCCTTTGTTTCTCTTGCCAAATTGTGGATTTATTTTTCCCTCGCTCCCCTAAAAACCAAAAGTGTCTCTCACGTCCTATTATAAAAATTATGTTTATTTTTTTAATTCTGAATTCCTTCATGATTTTTTTCTCCCTTCCCACCTCAAAATTCACGTTTTCCAAAACTTAACCTTAAATCCGACTAATTCCATTTAAAATATTTTCTTAAAACTTGTCAATTTATGTTGCTCTTTTTGTTCTTGTAATTTTATTATTATTATTATTATTATTATGAACAAATGTTTTTGTTTTTTCCCCTGCAGGTTTGGTTCCAGAACAGGAGGTCCAAAGAGAGGCGCATGAAGCAGCTGAGCGCCCTGAGCGCGCGGAGACACGTGTTCTTCCGGAACCCGCGGAGAGTGCGAGCTCTGGGGGACAGACTGGAGCCGGGGGAGCTGGGACACTTCTCCTATTATGGAGGTTCAACTGGTTTTATATTTTACATTTATTTCAACCGGTCGGGGATTTGTTCCTAATGTCTGCTGAGCCGAAAATCATCAACAAACACATCCAGTCCAAATAATGTTTTCCGTTGTTTGTTTGCTTTTGTATTTTCTCAATCCGTGCGCTAATCCTGCTGTCTATAAACGCAGATTATCCCGGTGAGTTCTACGGCCCAGGAGGGAATTATGAGTACTTCCAGGGCCCGCCATCATCGCAGGCTCAGACTCCAGCCGACCTGGGCTTTGTGCCCTCTGCAGTTCCTGCTGGGACCCCGTTAGGAGTCGTGGACCACCACCAGCACCACCACCACCATCACCACCACCCGCACGCAGGGCACCACTGCGCCGCGGGAGACGCGCAATGCTTCCCGGACACGATGGTCTCATCCCACCACCTTCCCGCGGACTCACCTGGCAGCCCGGAGCCCGGCGGACCCGTTTCCATCCACAGCATGTCCAGTGAAATGTGCGGCCCCGGGCCTGGACCTGGACCTGGACCCGGGCCTGGACCCGGACCTTTCACCGCCCTCAACGAGAACACGGGATACAGCAACCAGCTGAACCAGCAGCCCCCAGAGCTGAGCGAGGGCACTGCCTGGTAACCAACACAGACCCATAGACTGACTGCTTCTTTATTTATTTATTTATTTATTTATTTATTTATTTAACTTGATGAAGCAATAAACAAATACACTCATCAGGTTCTTTTTTTTTTTTTGTCCATGCAGAGTTTATAATTTTTTATGCTTTGGACCTGATGGACCTGATGAGAGACTGAACACGCAGTAAAAGCTACAAAGATCAGTCCCATAAATATAAATAACACGATAAACAACAACAGATGAGAGAATGTGTCATTTGAGCTCAGAAAAGGCTCAATGCCATTAAATCTAACGATGGCTCAGGTCAGTGAACGCCACATGAATTAGATCAAACAGTCAAAATGACGCAAATTCAACTGAAAAGTCAATGTTTTCAGTGCACTTTGTCTTAAAAACAACAACAAATACATTAGGCATATTTTTAGACATAATTTATTTAGCTTTTTGTGGCACAGTCTGCAGTAATTGTTTTTGAACTTCTAATATGATACTTTTGAATGGTTTCTGTGTCCATTTGAACATGATTTTATCATGTGAGTCCAACTTTTAACTGTGACGCTCAGTAGATTAAAGCAGCACGTCTCTCAGGACTGTGGGAAAATATGTATATTTTTTGGGCCACTTCCTTTCCTACGTGTTTGCTTTGAGAACAAAGACTTTATATGTCAGATAATTTTATACCTGTACAACATGTGGATGTTAATATTGTTAATACAGAACATTCAACGGTTTCCTTGAAGCTTTTTTGTAAGACTTTGTCAGTCCGATGGGAGAACTCATCCAGTTCTTTTCTTGTACTGGTACCATGGAAACAGGTATATTCTCATTAAGAAAAGCAGAAAATAGGAATAAACTGTAGCTAAATTAAAGCCCAGCTGGAATCCTGCACTATTCGCAGTGATTTGTTGTGTTCGGCTACTTCACCGGTTGCTGCAGCTTTTTATTTATTATTTATTTTTTGGGTTGTGCAAATGTAAAATAAAGTGGTTTTAATTTTTAAGAATCCAGACATAAAACTTCTCTATTTGTTTTTCTTTGTTTGTTTTGTTCCCAGAAAATATTCTATATTTCTGTAAAAATGAAACTTTTTTCCTACATAAATCAAATAATATATTAATAAATACCTACAGATGTTTGATAATTGTGACAATTTTGAAGATAACTATTACTATCAAAAATAATATTTATAAAACCTTAGTTGATACACATTTGCTTGTGTTTTTTTTTTATATAATCTATAAAAGAAATGGAAAAATACAATTTAAATATCATTTATCGTAGAACCAGAAATACAAATAACTTCACGCTGACAAAACATGGCATATTTACTGAAATGAATCTACTGATTAAATATGATAATTAACTGCTATTGTTTTAACTTGATTTTAGCTATGTTAAATTTATTCAAATTACTTTAAATGATGGTGAAAATGATTGTTTTCACAGCAGTGCAAGAGATAAAGAATTGTGAAATATGCTCAGTAGAGGTTTATGAGTGTGTGATATCCATTTATCTTTTTATCATCAGAGTTTGCTACTTTCAGAGACATTAGAGTCTAAATCACACTTATTACATTTAAAATGTCCGTCTTGACCCACACTGTGGACAAACAGGATTATATTCCTTAATAATTTGTTAAAACAGAATGATGTTAAAGCAGGCATCATAATGTTCAGGGGCTTCAGTAAACGTTTTAGAGATATTCAGGATCTCATGGGGAATCTGAAAATATCTTCTGAATTCTCATTGTCAGGTAAACTACATAATAAAAGGTGGAGAGGAGGCCATGCCAGGTCAAAGGTGACAGGACAGAACGAATGCTGATGAGAGTGACGGAGCAGATCTGGAGATGTTTGGGAGGAAATATGCAGCAGATTGTTACTGGCTGGGGAGCTTAGTCCTCCTGGAAGTTTCTAAATATCTGGGTTGCAAAATGAAAAAAAAAAAAAGGAGGAAAACATAGGAGGTGAGATTGAAAAAGCAAGCTGTTGCCATGGTGATCAAAATCACGTTCAGTCAAATTAAAATAACGTTCAAATCATACAAGATACCCAAAACCAAAACGGGAAGGAATCTGGACTTGATTTACTAAACATAACTTTAGGAGAGTGTTTTCCAAATATGTTTAATATTTAACATTATTAATAATACAAACGTAATATGGACATTATATTTGACATGTGTGATGTTAAAGCAGGTGGAGCAGGATGTGCATGCTGGTGGGGAAAAAGGCCCATCAGGTGATTAAAAGATAATTCCAAAACTTCATTCTTATATTTGAACACCAACAATGTATGGCTGTTTATTACAATACTTATCTAAAATTTAATCCCTGAATTACGTGAATAATTGAAGCCTGATTTGTTTTTCAATTACTTGTGGAAATCATGTTTTTATGTCATTTTATCTAAAGAAAATGCTGGTACCGCTTTACAATGAGGCTTCCTCCCCTTATAGATGGCTAATATGTTGTTAATTCCTCTATAAGCACTTTATAAATCATTAATAACTGCTTATTATGCATTAATTAAGGGTGACAGACAACTGACCAGTTTGTTGCCAAATAGTGATCCAAATCTGTTCATCTAGAGTTGTTATGTTAAACATTTCAGACTAAGTTGTGAGCACAATAAGCATTTATAAACCTAATTATTTTAGGATATAATATTAGTTGTAGACACTTATAATGCAGTGATAAAGTACAATACTTTATGCTAAAGAAATAGGTTTACAAATGCTTATTGTGCTTACAAGGTAGTAACTTAGTCTGAAATGTTTATGTGAACAGATTTGGCAACAAACTGGTCAGTTTTGTTTCTCTGTCACCCTTAATTAATGCATAATAAGCAGTTATTAATTATTCATAAAGAGTTTAGAGGGGAATTAATAACATATCTAAAAACTATTTATTAGCCATATAAGGAGAGCCTTATTGTAAAGTGGTACCAAAATGGAAAACACAAGACAAGCAAGTGATTTTATTCTTTTTTTTTTTAAAGTATTTATCGTTTTAATTTAATTTTCAAATGGATTTAAAATGTCAACATTTCTACAAAGTTTTACCATTTAAAGGCCTTTAAGTGATTTTATTCTGACTCTCATGGAGTCGCTGGATTACAACCAAAACATTAATCATTCTCTAAAGAGCACCTGAGAGAAATAACTGCAAGATACAGTAAACATTAAGTCCAGGAATATTTATCTGTATTCATATGAGCTGTGTGGAGGTAAAAATGGTTACTTTTATTACCTTGTATACATTTTAGTAATGAATCAATTTTTTTATTTCATGAAAACTTGGAAAAAATAAACTCCCATCAGCTAATTGCCACTTGGGGACTATTATGATCTGATGGTTGAGATGGATGCCTCCAGACATTTTCGTGGCCTTTTATAAAACACACATTTTTTATATATAGAACTATTTCACAGATCAGTTTCCTCCAGAAATCCTCTGTGTGTTTTTATTTGCAACAGTAACTTGGTTTAACGGTTCCAAAGCATGTTTATAACACCGTGAGTGCCTTTAAAAGCCTTTTCTCCACACTCCTTTGCAATAGATTTCTAAAATATTCAACTATGTCGTGGAGCAGAAAGTTTCACAGTGAGACTTTAAAAAGAACAACATCCTCTGTTTCATCACTGGTGCACACGCAGTGGCTGAAAAAAACAACAAAAAAACCCACAACACCTGAACTATCCTTAGTGATTCTTCACTGTAACGGGAGATAAATCAGTTTTATTCTTTAATCTAAATTCTTTTTGAACTTCTATTTGTCCTCCCCCCCATTGTGTCTTTTTCATTTGACTCTCTTGCACAATTCAGCAGTTCAACTCCGTCTACACTTTTTTCCTTGTGCCCCAGGCTTCCCCGTCCACTTTCTGCATGAAAATCATTCACACATACAATTTTATAATCAATGCCCACAGTAATAGGATTCTTCTGGCCACGGGCAATTAATACAGTTTTTCCTTTTTTTTTCCTACTCCTCGTGCAGATCGCAAAGCTATGATGAGACACTGGCTTCTCCCTCATTTACATATTTATTGCATTGGACTCAAATCTGCCGAGTGATTGATGTGGAGCCTGCCTCCTGAATTTTTAGCGGCCTATTATTATGAGAGCAATGGGGGTGGGTTGGGGGGGGGGGGGTCTCGAGCACGTCAGTGGACTCCTGATTAAAGTTGAAGAGGACAGAATTATGAGCCACCAACTCCCCCACCACCACCACCACCACCCCCCAGATTTACATTCTTCTTGTTTTAATCTGAGAGGCCCAGAGCAGATTTCAGCTCTAGATGCTGACTCGTCATTTATTTACAAAAACCAACAGCGCCTCACTCGTTAAGATCACTCGCTGTTCATTTTCAGCTGGAGCCGGGACAATATAATTCATTTCAATTAAAATAATTAGTTATCCTAAAAAAAAAAAAAATAATAAAAAAAAACTAACAATGACCGGCCCACGTTTAGTCGTGACTTACTTTGGCAGACAGATAAAAACACTCATACAATAACTGAAAATGTAAGCACAGACAGCCTCTAAAAACCAACACTGAAGCTCTGTAACATCAAACCTTCTAGTGGCAGGAAAACACAAGGCCTGAGGCAGATTTTATGGCCTTTTTTTAACAAAGTCCTGCAGATTTGTTCACGTTTGAGAGAAATGGAGACAAAACCTGAACACAGAGAAGCTTCTGCTGCTCTGCTAAACGTGTGGTGAATGGTGGTGATGGGAGTCCACTTCCTGCTTCCACACACTTTTTCTGTAAGTGCAACACAGCAGGTTGCAGTTGAAACCTTTTGTATTCACTATAGAACATTAGAGAGGGACAAATAGTTGCTCATCCTAATCTAAATACGAAAAGTCAGGGATGGGCAACAATTAATCCAGAGAGACTTTTTGACACAGTTGAAGGAATCGACGGGTCATACATTGCTCGAAATATGGGAACATGAAGTACTTCTGATTTATTACACATGAAATCACAACAGCTATCAGC